TATGGATTTACTTTGTCATTCGATAGAATTTAGTTATCCACTTCATCTTCTACCACTGTTATTCTAGTAAAATTCTGATCACTCATCAAAAGAGCAGCCACAGTCATTCTGCATAAGGTAGCAAGCATGAACAGCCATTAACCTGTGCTACTCACAATAACTGTTTTAGTACAGTTACCAGTTTTTGGATGCATGTAGTGAAGTGGTTAGATGTGCTCCATAATGTACACTTGATCGTTAGTTCGACTCCACATCCTTTGCTTAGCCCACTTTCTCTGCAAGCTGGCTATCAATTTACGAATGGAGCCAAATGCACGGCATATTCGTAAGAGATTGATCAACGCCGAACGCTTTTACTCTTCACCACTTTTTTTTACGGAGTTTCTAAGCTTTCTTAGGCTTGTTTCATTCACTCTATACCGATAATGCTGTGTTTTAAGCCTCCTGCTTCAAAATCTTCTAATCGAAACATGGAAGCTCCTGACGTGGAGGTGACCACGTAATGGTCATCGATTCCCGCGTCAGACGTTTTCTACATTACTTCAGAATCCCAACACTTTGATTTTTAGTGTGGAAATGTAGTCGACCCGTTTTACCTTCAGGTTGTTTGTTTGTAGCTATGTAAACTCTTTTCATTGCTTTTTGTGAACGATGAGGTTCGTCATTATAGAAATGAATAGAGACGAATAAGGACACGTGATTTTTCCGTGTGTGCTGTGTGTTGTTCTTTTTTGGGCCGATAAATACTCTTCTCCACTTCATTATTCATATGTTACTCAAATAATGCACGTAGTACCACATCCACAAAAGTCTTGTTGGATTATTGGATGATCGGAAGTGGTGATGAAATATTAGTCTATTTATTCTTTCTTTGATGAGCTTACACGAACTTGATAAATATATTCATTTTCGGCTAGCGTCTCGACGTCTTTGTCTTCATTAAAGCCGATGATCCGAGTAAATGATCCACAAGCGTGAAGAATGAATCTCGTGTAAGCTCATCAAAGAAATAATACATATTGATTAGTTATATCGAGGTTAAAGGAAAGTCGTTATCGAAATATTAGTCTATTTGTCTGTGTCTGTGAGTACTGGAATGACGATCATTTTTTCTTGCCACGAGCGTAATTTGTAAGATTGGAATAAATTGATGGTCAATGGTATCACATGATTTAGTCGGGAGAACATCAAATAACTTGAGTTGAGGCGCCGACGCCCGATTCACAGGAAGAGGTGATTTTTCCAAAACATACTAAAACCCACTTTAGCAGTGGTAACCATCCACTGTGGTGGTGGATTGACGGTTGTCCTTACAGTGCTAGGAGTTGATCAGACTGGTACTCTATGCACTCTATCACGCATATCAGATCTCGATTTCACCTTTGTTGCAGAACATGGACAAAATTGAATATCTGGCCCTGGTTCTCCCGCATTGCCAACAGTACCATCCATACCATCAAGACCAGGTGGACCCTAAATTTTTTGCACGATGACACTTTAATAATCAGAAGAAAATGAAAGGACAAACCGGTTGCCCTGGCGCCCCCATGAGACCTTTTTCACCTGGCGGGCCGTTATCACCCACACAGCCGACAGTGCCTCGTGCGCCGGGAACTGAAAATGGTTTCCCACCAGACATTGACAAATCAACCAGTGTTTGCTCAGTGAAAATCAAGATCGTGTACTTCTTCTTTCGACTTAAAAAAGCGAATATTTAAAAAGTACTTCCGACTGAACCTGGAGATCCAGGCAAGCCTCGTAAGCCAACGCCACCCAGAACTCCGTCAGCTCCTCTAAAAATTTGCATTAATTGTTAAGGTGTAGTAAAATAAATAAAAGGATAAAGCTCTCAGCGCTGATCAATCCCTAAGGGATGCACCACTCGTTCGACTTCATTAAGCACCGTTTAAGGGTGATTGAATGCATATCTGGACTTTACAATGACTTTTGGTGGCCTATCGATGTATCGAGTCAGTGCTGCTATCCTCCCAGACAAATCTGGTACCAATTTGCCAACCCCGGAGGGAAGGAAGGCTCAGTGGGCCACGGGAGCGGAAATTGATCCCATGTGCGTATTGCAGGGCACCTCCCACCACTGCGCCACACACGTCCAAGGCGTAGTATTCTCTTAACTTCTGCACCTAAATGATTATAAAACAGTGAGATTGGTGCAAACCTTGAACCTCGCTGTCCGATTTGTCCTGGTCGTCCTCTACTTCCTAAGTCGCCTGGCTCACCAGCCGGCCCCGGTTTTCCATGCTGTCCTGGCGTACCAGGTGTTCCGCGTACACCAGGATGTCCTGGGTTACCATCTGCACCCTTTGAACCTGGCTTGCCAGGTGGCCCAGCTTGGCAGGGAAAACACAGAGCGGCATTTTGAGATTCTGTTAGAAATGCATTCGTCGGCGTCTTTTGTATGTAAGCAAATGGCTCTCCGTCGTAGCCATGAGATCCTGGGATACCTGGGAAACCACGTTCTCTGCAACATTTTTTTTTTGCCTAGAAGTGGTCATTGAAACCTATTAACTATTAATCCATTGTAGAGAAATAACATTTTTTTGTCATGTGCTACATTATAAGCGAAGGGTAAAGTAAAGCATTGCTATCATAAAGACCAAGCTAGCTAAGTTAAGCTCATTTGAAAGTGTAGTAATGTTAGTAAAGAACATTGGTATGCTTTATTTTCATTCTTTTCATTAGCGATGTTGTATTACACTTTACAAAAATTGAGTGAGAAAAGTGACATGGTTGAGGATAAATATCGACTAACCCTTTTAAGCCCCGTGAACCTTTTTTACCTTGCGGGCACCTAAAGGATTTCGGCAATTCTTCACGATTGTTCTTGTATCCGGGCACAGAACAATAACCTGAACAGACGATCATTACCGTATTCGTCATGATTGAAAAAGAAACCGAGGGATGTTCCACTTCACTCGCTTCCGCCCGCATTACCTACCAAACACTGCCTGCTGTGTCTTCATTTCATTTTTATGGAATTGAAACCAGCTTGCAAAAGATTTAAGGAACAGTTCGTGAAAGTCTTTGGCTTACAAAGGATAAGCGATTAAGGATTTTTTTAATACCATTACCACTAATTTTTTCTTTACTGATTCGACCTGTTACATCGTTTTCATCGATCGATCGGCCGATCAGTTCACTACACGCAAAGAAAGACCTGGTTTCTTCCGACCTGGAACAATCTTAGTTTAAAGCAGCTGATCTCCTACATATGGACTCATCTGGAGACTTGAAAACACGGTATTCTACGTATTCTGAAATTTCAGAAACTATTATGCTCATCTACATCCATTAAGCACGTCAATGGTAGGGGAAGACGAGAGTCCTTGAGAGGTTCTAAAGTTACAATCGAACTGACACGTGATGTCCACGACCTCCATGGCAGATGCACAGTTACAAGGAACTGCTGTTATGGTAATACGACACTCTAGGAAGGACCATATAACTTGCCAAATAGCTCCTATCATTAGCTGAGAGACAGGCGAATCGAAACACCCGCATTGCGCGGTGGTGAACGCGTTAGCCCCCGAAAAGTGTCATAGCGCTTTCGTTCCCCACCGCAGACACCTGCGGTGCGGAGTTTTGCAAATATCTCGGCATCATTGTGGTTGTACCGGACATAATACCCTGCCATGAAAAATTGTATTAGGCAGTAAATAAAAAGTCAACATTGTGAGCTCCTACCATTATTTTTTATACTTGTGAATTTAACTTGATTTAAACTGTCCTAATACTTTTAGGCGTATCAAATTATTGCAGGTAAGTGACGCAAGTATTTCGAAGGCGGCTATATAATTTTTATCAACGATCATTCTCAGAGTCGAACAAATCTCTAAACTTCTTCAAAAAGTAAAAACTGGGAGAGGTTAATGAAATCTAGAGGAGAAAAAAACCGGAAAAACAGAAGCGAGACGTTCAGCCCTCGTCCAGAAAGCGAAATAGGGAGCCATTTACAAGTTGCTGTAAGTGATAATCTTTTCAAGGCTTTTATTGTCATGCCACAATCCATTTGGACGATTGCTTAACTGAAAGCGTGTATAGACCTGCTAAAAGCTCAAAACGTCGTATCACTGTTCATTTTAAGACTCTTCGGAATTCCTTGAAAATTTCTTCGAGGTGCAGATATCACGATTCTAACGATTTTTCAATTTTTCAGAGTTTTATTGTCTCTTTGAAATATTTTTTTCATTTTATATGACCCTCCTTCATGCCTACTGTGCCGATCCTAGCACTTCTCACATTAGATTCGATTTCTCGTATCCACTGTCCACGAAGATCTTCCAACTTTTACGTGTGGCTTCGGTTTCTACTTGAGGATTTCCATTCATCTTGAATAACGCAGAATGCTAGTCGAGCAATTTTTCCTGGAGTCCTAAGATAGCCGGGGTGCAGCGTTCCCAGTTGAGTTGCAGTGAGAGCTTTTTTTTTCCAGATAAAGTCCGTTACTAATTCCCCAAGCCCGGCGGGATGAGGGACGACGGACATTACTACCACTGTGCTATTCGTCTCCTTTTTACGCTATTATTAGTACGATACATTTTAAATGGAGTCGATTTTAGTCGTAATGAAATGAAATCGCAATATGTATTTTTTCTTT